GAACCAGCGGAGGAGGGGCAGAGAGAGAGGGGGTCAGGATCCGAAGCAAGCAGGCTCCTTGTTGACAGCAGAGAGCCTGATGTGGGGCTCGAGCCCACAAACTGCGAGATCATGACCTGAGCTGAAGTCGGATGCTTAACCGACTGAGCCTCCCAGGTTCCTCTATAATGTTAATTTAAATATTATAATTACAAAGTAATTATACTGTTAAAAACCTATTAGTTTTAAACATTAATTTCGAAATATATTAAATATTTTAAATATTCCTAGATGAGTATTTTCTAGTGCTCACCCAAATCCTTCCTGTTAAGGAAATGCTGTTTTCTCTTAAATAGTACTCTCTCCTGGTCAGTACAGGACTCCCAAGTGTGGTCTGTGAACCACTAGCATGCGCATTACTTGGGAACTTTTTAGAAATGCAGAATCTTGGGACATATTTATTGAATTAGTCTGCATTTTAACAAGATCCCCAGGTAAGAACTGATGTAAATCACTGAATATGTCTAATACTGTTTATTTTTCCAGATCCCTGACCTTACTTTTAAGAGAGATCCTGTCTGGTTCAGTGTTCCTTCCATCTTTGGATTTCCTAGCTGATCCAGTAAGGCTTAAAAAATGGTTTTGAATTGTGGTAAAATATATACAAAATTTATCATCTTAAATGTTTTTATATGTATAGTTCAGTGGTATTAAATACATTCATTGTTGAGCAACCGTGACTACCACTCATCTGTAGAATCTTTTCATCTTACAAAACTGAAACTCTGTACTCATTAAATAATAATTCTCTATTCTTCCTTCCTCCTAGCCCCTGGCAACCATCACTGCACTTCCTATCTCTATGAATTTGACTACTCTGGGTACCTCATATAAGTGGGTCCAGTCAGTATTTGTCTGTTTGTGACAGTCTTATTTCCCTTAGCGTGATGTCTCCAAGATTTATCCATGTTGTAGCATATATTGGAATTTCATTCCTTATTAAGGATGAATAATATTCCATTGTAGGTATATACCACATTTTTCTGTTTATTCATCCATTGATGGACACTTCAGTTCCTCTTACTTGAACTAGTAAGATTTTGAAGAAACAGGAATAATTTATAAACACTTTATTTTTACATGTATGGAGTATTTACATTATGCCTGGTGTTGTTTTAAAGTTTTTTTTATTTATTGTTTATTTTTGAGAGAGAGAGAGAGAGAGTGAGCACATGTGTAAGCAGGGGATGGGCAGAGAAAGAGAGGGAGACAGAAGATCTGAAGTAGGCTCTGCACTGACAGCGCAGAGCCTGGCATGGGGCTTGAATGCCCAAACCGTGAAATCATGACCTGAGCTGAAGTCAGACATTTAACTGACTGAGCCACCCAGGCACCCATATAAACATTTTGAATGCCAAAGTCAGAATAACTTTTCTTTGCCCACTTTCCTAAAAGTGAGGCCCTGCATCACAGATTTTTTAAAGTCCCTCTATATTACATATGTGTAGATGCTTTGCCACTGTTCCATATTTTCTTCATTTTTCTAGAAACTTCCACGATATGAATAAAGCTTTGAGAATTTTGGGAGAAGATGGTAATGGAATTATTTTGACCTATGTGTATTATTTTCTATTAGGATACTGTGAATCACTTGCTTATCATCTTCATAGATGACAGTCCAGTGAGTATTATATTAGAAACATTCAGATTGCATTTAATTTTTGATTTATATCTGTCCAGTCACATGGCACTTGTATTGAATTAATAAATTCTCTTTCTTCAAAGCCTGAAAAAGCAACTGAACTGCCTTCCCCTTTGGTTCCATTCTTGCAGAAATTTGCAGAACCTAGAAATAAAAAGCCATCTGTAAGTATTTTTACCAATAACATATATTATTTTTGATATAAACAATTTTATCATGTGTTTATATGGCCTTAACTTACCCTTCTCTCATATTGTATCAAGGTGCTGAAGTTAGAATTGAAGCAAATCAGAGAGCAGCAAGATCTCTTATTTCGTTTTATGAACTTTCTGAAACAAGAAGGAGCAGTGCATGTATTGCAGATATGTCTGACTGTGGGTGAGGCTTACCGTGCACTTTAGCAAAGTCATTTTTATACTTTTTAATACATTAAATATTTTAAATATATTTGAATATTTAGATCAGATTTGATGTTGTTGTAGGGTGTCATTGTACTAAATTTCTTTTTACTAGGTATTCTAAGATCACCTTTGAGTTGTCTCTGGTGTCCACTCCTTTCCACATTGTAACATAATCTATAACGGACCTCGATCAACTGACTTCCTCTTTATTTTTAAAAAATTTTTTTATACTTATTTTTGATAGCGACAGAGCACAAGTGGGGGAGGGGCAGAGAGAGAAGGAGACACAGAGTCCGAAGCAGGCTCCAGGCTCTGAACTGTCAGCACAGAGCCCGACACAGGGCTCGAACTCACAAACCGCAAAATCGTGACCAGAGCCAGAGTTGGACGCCCAACCGACTTAGCCACCCAGGCACCCCAACTGACTTCCTTTTTAAATATAACTTTAGGGGCGCCTGGGTGGAGCAGTCGGTTAAGCGTCCGACTTCAGCCAGGTCACGATCTCGCAGTCCGTGAGTTCGAGCCCCGCATCAGGCTCTGGGCTGATGGCTCAGAGCCTGGAGCCTGTTTCCGATTCTGTGTCTCCCTCTCTCTCTGCACCTCCCCCGTTCATGCTCTGTCTCTCTCTGTCCCAAAAATAAATAAACGTTGAAAAAAAAATTAAAAAAAAAAAATATAACTTTAAAAAAATTGAGGTGTAATTTACAGTGAAACTCATAGAACTTAAATGTACAGTTTGGTCAGTTTGGAGACATCTGTACATCTGTGTAACCTACTCCTTTATCAAGATAACAGAACGTTTCCATCACTCCAGAAAGTTGGGGTCCTTCCCAGACGAGCTACCCCTGCTCCCACTCCTGCCAGAGCCAACACAGCTCTCATTCCTTTCCCCACAGATTACTTTTGCTTGTACCGTTTCCTGATAGAAGTGGAGTACATCGTGTGTACTCTTTTGTGCCTGGCTTCATTGATTTAAGATTATGCTTTTTAAGATTGATTCAGGTTGTTGTGTAGAGGAATAGTTTGCTCTTTTTTATTGCTAAGTAATACTCTTTTATATGAGTGTACCACAGCGTGGGCTTTCTTTTTTTTTTAATTCATTCTTGTGGATGGGTATCTGGACTGCTTTCATTTTTGAGCTATTATAAAGAAAATTGCTATGCATATTCTTGTCTAAAGATTTCTGTTGGGCATATGCTTAATAACTGGAAGTAGAATTGCTGGGTCACAGGGTAGATATATATTTTGTTATATGAGAAATTACCAAATTGTTTTCCAAAGTGGTTGTACTATTTTTGAGTGGTTGTACCCTCCTTAGCAATATGTGAGAATTCTGGTTGCTTTACATCTTTACAAAAATTTGGTGGTATTTATTTATTTTTTTAATTTTAGCCATTTTAGTGGGTGTGTGGTGGTATCTTATTGTGCTTTTAACTTGCATTTCTCTAATGACTAGTGTTGAACACTTTATCATATGCTTATTGGTCATTCGAATATCTTGGTATGTGGAAGTGTTTAAGTCTTTTCCCTATTTTTTATTGAATTGTTTTTCTTGTCATTGAGTTATAGGAATTTTTTTTTTTAAGTTTATTTATTTATTTTGAGAGGGATGGAGAGAGAAGCAGGGGAGGGGGAGAGAGAGAATCCCAGGCAGGCTCTGTGCTGTCAGCATGGAGCCTGATGCAGAGCTTGATCCCACGAACTGAGATCATGACCTGAGCTGAAATTGAGAGTTGGACACTTACCTGACTGAGCTACCCATGTGCCCCAGAGTTCTTTATATATTCTAGATGCAACTCTTTTGTCAGATATCAGACTATGACTTGTGTTTTCATTTTCTGAATAGTTTTGATGAGTAGAATTTTAAAATTTTGATGATAATTCAGTAGATCTATATTTACGGGTAGTGCTTTCAGAGACTTCCATAAGAAATGTTTGTTACCCAAAGTCAAGGTGATATTATCTCTAGATGCCTGTTTTTCTCTACATGCTTTATAGTTTTATATTTTACATGTAGGTTTGTGACCTTGAAATCTTTTTGTATTGGTATTAGATAGGAGTGGAGTTTCATTTTTTCCCCTCGTATGGTTATGGATATCCAGTTTTTCTGATACTCATGTTTTTTAAGTTTATTTATTTATTTTGAGTGAGAGAGAGAGTGCACACAAGCAGGGATGGGGCAGAAAAGAAGAGCGAGAATCCCAAGCAGGTTCTGTGCTATATCAGCATGGAGCCTGATGTGGGGCTCAGTCTTGCGAACTGTGATATCCTGACCTGAGCTGAAATCAAAAGTTAGACACTTAACCGACTGAGCCACCCAGGCACCCCCTGATACCCATTTTCTGAAGAGTCATTTCTTTCCCATCTTGAATTGTTAAATTATTTGATCATGTATGTGTGTTTCTGGATTCTCTTCTGTTCCATTGATCCATATGTCTGTTTTTTTGGCCAGTACTACAGTGTTGATTATTTTGACTATATAGGATTTTTTTTTTTAATGTTTATTTTTGAGAGAGAGAGACAGAGTGTGATCAGGGGAGGGGCAGAGATAGAGGAAGACCTCTACCTCTATCTGTCTACCTCTGTCACTGCCCCTCCCCCACTCACACTGTCTCTCTCTCAGAAGTAAACAAAACATTAAAAAAATTAAAAAAAAATTTTTAATTGTTGCTAATATACAGAAAGAGAACAATTTTGCATATTTACTTTGTATCCTGTGCCATTGCTGCATTCATTTATTAGTTCTGGTAGCTTTTTCGTATATTTCCTTAAGATTTTCTACATATGTAATTGTGTCAACTGCAATACAGTTTTACTTTTTGCTTTGTAGTGTTTATGCCTTCCTTATGTTTCTTTCTCTTGCCTATTACAATGGCTAGGCCCTTTACAATAATGTTGAATAGAAGTGGTGAAAGTTGATATCCTTGGTTTTGTTCCTGATCTTATGGGGAAATCACTTAGTGTTATACCATTAAGTATGGTATTACCCTGGGCTTTTTTGTAGATATTCCCTAGCTGGTTTTACGATTTCCTCTTTATTTTTGTTTCTCAGCAATTTGACTCTACTATGTAGTTTTCTTTTTATATGTTCTTCTTGGGTTTTACTGAGAGTCTTGGATATGTTGCCTTGGGATTCTCACTCTCCTTCTCTGCCCCATCCCTGCTTGTGTGTGCTCTCTCTCTCTCAAAATAAGTAAATAAACTTAAAAAAATGGGTATCAGAATGGGTTGGTGTCTTTCATCCTTTTTGAAAATTCTTGGCTGTTATCACTTCAAATCCCAGGATCATATATGTGGTGTTCCCTTTTTTAAAACTCTTTTCTTTCCTCTCTGTTTCAGTTGGGTAATTAAGAATTAGGGAGTGAACTCCATATTACTACCTCTTCTAATAAGAAAAGGCAGTTAATATTTTGTCTCCTACTGCTGTTATCTGTCATTAAAAAAAAAAAATGATTCATTTGTTTACGTACTCAGCTCCATCAGTAGTCTGTAGTCTCCATGATGGAAGGAAATATTATTTAAAAACATTGGAACTTTAAAAAGCCTTAAGTGTCACTGTTATTTAGTGAATTAGATTTCAAAATATTAATGACCATTGGTATAAGAAGTCAATCAAATATGTTCTTTAAATAAAAGTTTTAGAAATCTGTTTACTATTCTGAATTTTAGAAATTTGTATTGCTGTGCAAGTGTTTACATATTTTATGTTAATATAGAAAATATTTGGTTAAAAGTTTTTCTTTCATCTGGGTAGTTATTTTATTTCCAATTAAAATTATTTTAAAAGCTTAAAATGAATAGATTGTAATTTCTGTTTTTAATATTGATTACAATTAGACTGGGAATAATATATTATGTTTTATATTGTATTGTGTTGTATTGAAAGAATTCATTTTTTCTTACTTTTTCCTAATTTGCTAGAGGAATTCAATGATAGAATTTTGCGACCAGAGTTGTCAAATGATGAAATGCTGTCTCTTCATGAAGAGTTGCAGAAGATTTATAAAACCTATTGTTTGGATGAAAGTATTGACAAAATTCGATTTGATCCCTTTATTGTAGAAGAGATTCAAAAGAGTAAGTCAAAGATGTTGATGAGAATATAGCCCTTTTACCACTTTTAATGTTTTCAGAGTTTTCTCCTGTATTCATCTAACAAGATAAAAGCTTTGATGAGAAATTTACTCATAATTCACATAGCTAATACTTGCAGAACTTGTTCTGATTCCTCATCCTAGTGTGATTTCTGTACCTTATAAGTGGATTTTCTGCAAAACATAATTTTACGACTGTTTGAATGTTCTTTCACTGTCATTTTAAACTAATATATAATGTATTTATGGTATTCATAAACAATTTCTACAATATAATTTTTTTAATAGTTGCTGAAGGCCCTTATATAGATGTTGTGAAACTTCAAACTATGAGATGCCTTTTTGAAGCATATGAACATGTACTGTCTCTCTTAGAGAATGTGTTTACACCTATGTTCTGCCACAGTGATGAGGTAAGTCAAAATATTAATCTTGTTTGAGAATTTTCCTTCAAAATTTAATAATGGCTTTCATATCAGTAGGTGAGTGATTCAAAAAGCAAAATAAAAATAAAACATGATTAACTAAAAAAGTGAATACTGTGTTTCACTACATACATTAATGGAGATTAGAAGTTTATTGTAAAAATGATTCTCAATACCAAAACTGTATTTGTATATATATGATTAGGTAGATGACTATGGCCAAATAGATCCACCTGATGTGCCATATGCCTCAGTGGCTGTGTAATGCTGTGGTGATGCAGAAACTCCATTCTTCTTTTACGTACATTACTACAGACATGTGGAAATTAAATGGCCTGAATATCTCTATTTGCAATATTTTAATCCTTACTCTATTTGTCTATGGTTGTTTTCATTTGATTTAAATTTTGTTTTTTTTAACCTGGAAAGTAGTAGGGTAAAGTAGCATTTTTAAAAATAAAATAGTTTAATAAATCATAATTTTTTGAAGTATTTCAGGCAACTTTTAAGAGGTGCAGAATCACCAACACGCAATTCAAAATTGAACAGGTGAGTATACTAAGTCATCTGTGTGGTGTGGTTTTTGTACTTGTTGATGCTAATCATTCTTGTGATACTATCTTTGTCTTTATTAGCTCTTTTTCTTTGTGTGGTTCCGTTGCTACATAAGTAGACATTTTATTAGGTAATTATATAATTGTACTACATATAGTAACCTGAAAATGCCTGAAGTTATTTTAGAAAAACTTAACAAGATACACACCATTGCCTTGCTAATATCATAATTAATACATATTAGTGCTTGATCACCTGCTTTATTAGATCCTGTGAACTACTTGCATAAAAGAAATCTATAGATAAGTCAATTTTAGACAGGTATTTTTTTTCCTCAGAGAATATTTTATGTTAGAGTACTTACGGGTTACAAATGTGGAGGGTTTTTTCTTTCTTTCCCTTCTCACCTTCTGTGCAGTTAAATAACCCAAAGAAATAACAGAAGAGAGTGCTTTATCCATTTATAAACTGGATAATTAATACCTTGGTTTTTCCTTACATTGTTATATGTACAAAATTGATACAGGTATCAAATGTATAAATCCACAGAATAGATATTCACATTGTTCTCAAAACCTTCCAGTTTGAGCAAGAATCTAGTAAATACATAAATAAGTTGGAGATGTGGTACAAAGATAGAGGTAGATAGGTTAGAAACTAGAGTAGTTTTTTAGATAGTACAAGGAAAAATGTGAAAGCCTTAGCTATGGAGAAAATGTATTGCATTTTTTGATATAACCAAGGGATGTACAAACAGATTGGAATTTCTTGATTGTTGAATTTATATATTACAATCATGAAACATTGATTTAACAAAATTCCATCATGTTATTTAAAATAGCATACTTTACCCAATCCAAACACTTCTTTGATTTGAATACTTTTTTAAGACTTTTATCAAATTTTCCAGTATCATTTGAGAAACAGGTGGAATTTATTGCTGTTTATAGATATAGGATATTTGGAGTGCCACAGTAGGATATTAAGCTTAATTGCCTTCCTCTACAGGACGATTTAAGGGGAAGTGGTTCTTTGATCTCACAAGCCTACCGAATAGCTAAGTCATAACTTCAGAGATGGAAAGCTTTCTTTGCCACTTTGAGATCATCTAGTTGTCTTCAACCTATTACATAATTTTGCTGTCTTTAAAATATAAACAGGAACAAAATATGGGTTCTTTTCATTCTGGGTACTGATTATGGTCTTTAAAAGTATGTTTTTCTTTATATTGACCTGATTTTAATATTAACTATGAGTCTTGTCAGTCCTCTGCTTCTGTGATACTTACTCATTTATCTATATAGAGTAAGTAAAAGATTTACTTAACATTCTCTCATTGAAATTTAGAGTAACATTGCTTATTTGCTAAGTGACTTAAAGAATCTAAAGTATTTATTCATGTATTTTATCTCTGAGTTCTATTTAATTGTATTTTAAAAATAAAATTTTAATGCATTAATGTTAACCTATTGTTCTGTTTCTTCCACACTCAAAGAATAACTTAAAAAACTATATTTAGAGATCTTTTGTTAGCTTTGTTTCTTAGCCTAAAACCTACTTTTCAAAATACTCAAACTAAAGATGTGTGAAGGACACATAATTATATCTAATACAAACTTGGATTTCATGTTGGAAAACATTGAATTTGTCTTTTGTGCTAAGTTTTTGGTGGCTTAGTCTCTGCATACTTTCCACGATATCAAGCAAATTGTATGCCTAAATGAAGGCAAAAAATACAAAATTATTTCCTGACATACTTGTTTAAGAACTTTTTTTTAATAATCTAGAATTCATACTCACAAAACCCCCCAAATGAGCCATTGTGCTTTTTCTTTCCTTTATTATGTTATAAAAATTCTTTCTCTTTGCAGAGATGAATGCTATCCACCTGTGTAACTTTTAAAGCTTTTAAATTTTGTTTTGTGTTCTGAAGTGAAACTTGTTTAATATCTGGGCTTTCTCTCTCTCCTTTCCTTATATAATTTCATCTATCTGTTACTGCAGAGGTAGCCTAAGTTTGGATGATTTTCGGTAAGTCTTGAGACAGCATGTGATTTTTTTCTGTATAATTTGTCTGTTTAAGTTCAGATAGTATACCCAAAACAAAGTACAACACAAAGGAAAAAAGGAAACACTGCTATTACTACTGCCTTTATATCAGCTATTTGGGATATCCTTTTAAAATTAACCTCTGGGGCACCTGGGTGGCTCCATCGGTTAAGTGTCTTGACTTCTGCTCAGGTCACTACCTCACAGTTCGTGGTGCTAGCCCCGCATTAGGCTCCATGCTGGCAGTGTGGGGCCTGCTTGGGATTCTCTCTGTCCTCTCTCTACCCCTGGCTTGTGCGCATGTGCTTCTCTCTCTCTCTCTCTCTCTCTCTCTCTCTCTCAAAATAAATAAACTTAAAAAAATAATAAAATTAATCTCTAATTTGATTTTAGATATCTCTTTTTTGAAATAGCATGATATATGTCATAAAATGTCAGTTGAAAATAAAATGAAAAGTTAGTACCTAGCTGTTCAAGGCTATTGACTCATTTAAAAAAAATTTTTTTTAATGTTTATTTATTTTTGAGAGAGAAAGAGAGAGAGATAGACAGACAGACACAGAGCACGAGGAGGAGAGAAAGAGACACAGAATCCAAAGCAGGCTCCAGGCCCTGAGCTGTCAGCACAGAGCCTGACATGGGGCTAGAACTCACAAATTGCGAGATCATGACCTGAGCCGAAGTTGGCTGCTTAACCGACTGAGCCACCCGGGTGCCTTGACTCAGTTTTTTGTTATTGGTTTTGTTAAATTACTTGTATTGACTTATTAATTATTTGAGAGAGAGAGAGAGAGAGAACATGAGTGGAGGAGAGGGACAGAGGGAGAGAGAATCTTAGGCAGACTCCATGCTCAGCAAGGAACCTGATGGGGGGCTCGATCCCACAACTGGGATCAGGACCTGAGCTGAAATCAAGAGTCAGATGCTCAACTGACTGAGCCACCCAGGCACCCCCTAAATTACTTTTAGAATTACTTGTGTTTAAGGAACTTTATTTTTCAAAGCAAGAAGTATATTTCTGTATTTCTGGGGATAATTAGAAATGAGATACTTTAAAAAATATTTCAGATTTTAAAAGCCCAATTTTTTATAATCTGTCTAGGTTCTAGAAACTAGAATAATCTATCTGGATTCTAGAGGTTTTAGTAATACTTCGTTAACATTTTCATAATTGGTTTTGGAAACATTCTATCAGAGAATTGTGTTTACAATCCTAGATTTTTTTTAAAAAACAACATATGCTTGTTTAAATAAAATAATCTTCTAGTTTACCCATTTTACTACTATTTATTATTAGAGTTTTTCCAGTTTTAAATTAGGTTTGATTTTCTCCTTGGACATGTATAAAATGCACATGTTACTAATGTACCAGATATATTTAAAACTTGATCAAATTATTTTTATTTTTGTAATTGTTGCATTATTTCAATAAATAAGTTTTGCTTGTAGGAATAGTAGCTATCCATTAAATTAAGCATTCAAAACAAACTTTTGAATTTTAAAATAGTAATTTTTATTTGGGTATCAGTTGTACGGGCAGCATTACATGGAGAGCATGAGTGAGTTTTAAATTGAATAAAAGTTCTGTTTTTATTTATTGAAACATGGGACAGTGGACTGTAATGGAGGAAATTTTTGCTGCTTTTTGGCTTATTTTTTGTTGTTGCTCTCCAACTATTTCTGCTTTTAGAAATTCACTTTTGAAAAAAAATTACAAAACCAACATTTAGTATATATGGCAGAGCAGGCTGCTTCCTTAGGCTACATTTGCTTTTGTCCTTATGTTTATTGCTAACCCTTCCCTTTGGCATGTTTTTTCCATCCCTTGGGCATGTTATCTTTTTGTTACTTTGAAGTCAGGTAAGATACACTTTGTACTTCATTCCTTATAGGAATATAAAGTCGATATTTGCTTAAAAATTTTTAGTTATAGAGGACAGAATTTTTTTGTTAATTTCTAAAAATGGGGCACCCATGGGCACCTGGGTGGCTGTTGGTTAAGCGTCTGACTTGGGCTCAGGTCATGATCTTGAGGTCTGTGAGTTTGAGCCTGGCATTGAACTCTGTGCTGACAGCTCAATCTGGAGCCTTGCTTCTGATTCTGTGTCTCCCTCTCTCTCTGCCCCTCCCCTATTTGAGCTCTCTCTCTTTGTCTCTGTCTCTCTCTGTCTTTCTCTCTTCTCTCAAAAATGAACAAACATTGGGGTGCCTGGGTGACTCAGTCGGTTAGGCGTCTTGACTTCGGCTCAAGTGATGATCTCACGGTTTGTGAGTTCGAGCACTGCGTCAAGTCTGCTGCTTCAAGCCTGCTTCAGATTCTGTCTCCTCACTCTGCCCCTCCCCTACTTGTGCTCTGGTCTCTCTCTGTTTCTCAAAAATAAGTAAATGCAATAGAAAAATTAAAAATGAACAAACATTAAAAAAAATTCAAAAAATAAAAATGAAGGACTGAGAAGGTCATAGTTTTATATATTTTTCTGTTATATACTATGTTATTTTAGTGGTACAGTTCTAAACGGATACATTGTTTTGAATGTTGGCTCAACACATTAGTTCAAAATATGTATGGCAATAAGAACTACATACCACTAGGGGGCTCTAATCTTCATTCTAGTTCAGTTAATGTTTTAAAGTTAAATAGGTAAATTCCAAATTTTTATTTTTTTTATTATGTTTTTAAAGTTTATTTATTGTTATTTTGAGAGAAGACAGCATGAGTTGGGAAGGGGCAGAGAGAGAGGGAGAGAGAGACCTCCAAGCAGGCTCTGGCTGCCAGTGCAGAGCCTGATGTGCAGCTTGAATTCACGAAATCATGAGATCATAACCTGAGCTGAAACCAAGAGTCAGATGCTTAACTGACTGAGCCACCCAGGCGCCCAATTCCAAATGTTTATTGATAAATATTGTCCCATTTATTCATACCCCCAAATTTAGACTTTAAATGTCACTTTTGGCTTCTGATATCCTGGGACTTGATCTAGATGACTAAGAACTCCAAAAAGTTATGTTAGCTGTACCTTCAGTTTACTCTTTTCACACGTATTTTAATTATTGTTAATAAACTAGAATGTCGTGATAATTTGCTGTGTACTTGATACATTTTTGTTTAATATTTAGGAGCACACAGAAGAGAGGAGAATCATTTGGAATCAGCAGAATAGGTAGCAAAATTAAAGGAGTATTCAAAAGTACCACAATGGAGGGAGCTATGTTGCCTAATTATGGGTTAGCCGAAGGTGAAGATGACTTTGTAAGTAAAAATTTTTCAGTTTGATGTATGTATAACTTCAGACCTACAATGGCATAAAAAATGATATATGCTTACTTTCTATTTTCCCTCTCCTTTATTTTACTTATTTCAGACTTCAATGCCTTATTTTTTTCATTAGTTATTATAGTTTTATGATGCTAATCTAATTGGTAATGTTCCTGAGCACTAAGTTAACTTCTTGTTAAGGCCAGAATGGTTTCTGTTGAGCTGCGATAGTTATAAAAGTCAAACAATTTACCATCCTTTGGTTAGGCTTTTAATTTGTTTCCTCATCTTATCGCTTTCCAGCCATATGGTCCAGGCAAACAGAACTGTTGATAAATGTCCTACCCGCAACATGGGGCTCTAACCATGACCCCTTGCTACTCAAACTGTGATTGGTACGTCAGCAGCGTCAGCATTACCTGGGAGCTTATTAAAATGTAGAATGTCTGCTTCCATCCTAGACCTACTAAATCAGTTCGCATTTTAACAAGATTCCCAGTTGATTTATATGCACATTAACCCACCATACTATTTTATTTTTGTGATCTTTGCACATGCTGCCCTTAAAATGCCCTACCTTTATATGTACCTAGAAAGTTCATACTTAACTTTCAGAATCCAGCCTCTCCCATAAACCTTTATCTGGGTCCCCCAGTGGAATTGAACATTCTCTCCTTTGTGCCCCTTATTAGATCTTATGTTAAAACATGTACCATATAGTGTATTTGAAATGATATGTTTATGATTGTTTTCCATACCAATTAGTTCTATAAAGACAGATACTGTCTCATTTGTGCTTTTTATTTGTTTAATAAATCTTTATTAAATAGAGTCCCTGTATCCTTATTTTGCCCATTAATGACTCTGAGCACTGGAGATAAAATGATTAAGACGGAGACTTTCCCCTTAAGAGATTCACTAACCTGGATATAAAAGGGATGAATAATAGTGATTGGATTGGCAGTGACCTAGAAGAAGGAATGGGGGAAGAGAGGAGTAAATTAACCCATTTTTTTCTCTGTACTTCTTCTTTTTGACCTCTGTCCCATTGCAGTGATGAATTATCGAGGACATTCATTGCTTTTTCATAGTTTAAGTGGAAAAAAATTTAATTCTTTTTTTTTTTCCTTCTTAGGTAATCTAAATACAACATTTTTTTTCTGTTTATACCCCCCCTTTTTTTTTTAAGTTTGTTTATTTTGAGAGAGTGAATATGAATAGGGGAGGGGCAGAGAGAGAGAGAGAGAGAGCGCGAGCGAGAAAATTCCAAGCCCGACATGGGGCTGGATCACACAAACTGTGAGATCATGACCTAACCCAAAATCAAGAGTTAGATGCTTTAACTGACTGAGCCATGCAGGTGCCCCTGCCCTTGTTTTTTCTTAAAAGTGTGGGTAGAAGAAAGACAGTAAACCCGAGGAAGCAGTCATTTTTCAAAATGATGTTTATATATTTTTTAATTTTAAGTATATTATAGTGTCAATTTTTTAATAATACGCAAAAGTGGAAACAAATTTAAAATACTACTCATAATTGTAACACCCAGTAACTCACCTCTATTAACATTTTGGTGGTTTTCTTTTTTAAAAAGTACCTTTCCTTTCTCATCCACATAGATTAGGGTACACCATTATATATAATGTATATGTATAGTATATAGTTTGCTATCCTGCTTTGTCCCCTCTTAACATTACAACAAAAGCATTTACCCATGTTATTGTGAACTTTTTAAAACATAATTTTTGTTCAGGAAGACGTACTTTTTCGTTCTGCCCAATTACTTGTTCTGCCCAATATAAGCTCGTTTTTTTGTTTTTTTGTTTTTTTGTTTTGCTTCAGGAATAGGAGGATAATCTTCAAAAAGGTGAGAGAGTTCTGTTTTGTAGTGGTTCAAGGAAGAAGAAAAGTCTTGATTTGGAAGCAAAGATAGTGATAATGGAAAGCAGGAAAAGAAAGCAAACTAATCTCTAATATTCTGAAAAGAAAAGGTAGGGGCGAAGAGGCTGTTGGCCCAGACCAAGACAGTACTACTTAGGATTTAGAGAGCACTGTGCTAGTTTCGTTTCGTTTCGTTCCGTTTCGTTTCGTTTTGTTGTTTTTTTCTTTTCTTTTCTTTTCTTTTCTTTTCTTT